GGGCCCGGTTTCCGCCCCCAGGCCCTGCGTGGTATCCGCCATTAGCCAGCTCGGGAGCACAGAGCTGGGCCGCTGGGTTGGGGCTTATATCCATCAGAAACACATCCAAAAGAACGTTCGGCTGCTCACCGCACTCATCGACATGTACGCCAAGTGCGGCGAAGTAGAGAGAGCTCTTGGCTTATTTGACGAAATCCCATCGCCGGATGCTCACTCCTACACCGCTCTGATCAATGGGCTCGCGTCGAACGGCCATGGAGGGGAAGCTCTGAAGCTGTTTGAGAGAATGCGAGGGGAGGGAATAAGGCCGGATCCGATCACATTCGTGGGTGTGCTGAGTGCTTGCGGGCATTCGGGGCTGGTGGAGGATGGATTGAGGTATTGGCGGAGTATGGTGGAGGAGTATGGGATTAAGCCATGTTCGGATCATTATGCGTGCGTGGTTGATATGCTGGGCCGTGCGGGGAGGCTCGGGGAGGCTTATGAGATGATCAGCAGAATGCCGGAGTTGGTGGGAAGTCATGTGGGAGCTCTTGGAGCAATTCTTGCGGCCTGTAGGAGTTATGGTGATGTGGAGATGGGGAAGATTGTTGCTGGGGACCTCTTTGTGATGGAGCCGCAGAATACTGGAAATTATATTCTGCTATCGAGTATATATGCTGAGAAAGGACTTTGGAGTGAGGCTGATAGAGTGAGGAAGATGATGAGAGGAAGAGCAGTTGAGAAGCTGCCAGGATCCAGTTGGGTCTGAAAATTGAGAAAATCAAGTCCTCCCTCCAATTTTTTTTAAATATATTTACACATTATTTTAAAGGATTATGTCATAATTTTTTTGACAAAAATTTTGTGTTGGTTATCCACTATCTAACTCTACTCTCCATTTTTCGCATCGGGGGACAAGTGGCGAGACTTGCAATGCTTTGTGGTGCAGAATGTTAATGTTGGCCTTCAAAATTGAAGCATAAAACAAAGTTAAATGTTGTTGGGATGAGAATGCTTAGGTGGATGAGTGGCTTACCACTTAGAGGCAAAATTGTGAAACGAATCTATTTGTGAAAGCGTAGCTCCAGCTGTAGAAATGATTAGAGAGAGTTGTCTTAGATGGTTTGATATGTGAAACGAATCTATTTGTGAAAGTGTAGCTCCAGTTGTGGAAATGATTAGAGAGAGTTGTCTTAGATGGTTTGATCATATTAAACGTTGACCATCTAATGATCCGCTCTGAAGAACAGATGTTTTAACTTCAACTTATGTTAAAAAAGATAGAGGTAGACTTGAAAAGACCGGGGCATATTGTATAAAAAATAATATTAATCTATTATAATAAAATGAAAATATAACGCTTAATAGGACTCGATGGAGAAAAAGGATTCGCATAGCCAACACCACTTAGTGGGATAAAGGTTTGTTGTTGCTATATCCTCCAAATTTTTTTTATGATTGAAGTCACTCGAGCCGAAGGGTTGAGAGCTTAGTCTTTCAATCAAGTAGTCATGAATTCAATACCTTGTATTTGTGGTTATACTGGTTCAAGTTTTCCAAAAAGATGTATGATAATGTATGCCATATATAAAAATTGAAGCTCATCATAATAATACTTTTTTTAAAATTTCAAAAACTTCTAATTTATGTCAAATGCTGGCAAATATAATAAAATCATTCATATTTGATCGTTTAATTAGATTGATTTTAATAATGTTTGTTTGGATAGAAACACACATTTTCATTTATTAAGATTATCAAAAAAAAATTATGAATAAAAATGAAAAATAATTTTCTTGCGAGCTCACTAATAACATATATTGAAAAAATTATTTTAATGAGTTTAGATATAAAAACAATCATTGATGATTTCGATATCACGAAGAAACATCATACACAATTCAAAATATTTGTTCATAGCAGCTAAATTAAGAGAATTTTTTTCATTTTACAAATTGTATTCCCTAATATTTTTCCTTTAATATTATTTATTTTTTTAAAAAAAATCAATTTTTAATTTTATTATATTTTAGTTAATTTTCAATTTCGTCTACCATTTTCTTTATATTCTATATACATATATAAATTGCTGATCAAAATATAATTATATATGTATTACAAATAAATAATTATATATTTATATATATATATATTAAATATATTTGAAAATTAATAAAATAGATCTATAAATATAAAATAAATTATTGTAGCAATATAAATTAAATGAATAAAAAATTAATAAGAATTAATAAGAATAAAAAGTTTGAGTGCTAGAACTTTATTATAATAATATTACATCATGCAACCCACTTAATATTTCTAAATTCCAACTCATATTTCACCACTCATAAATTTTTAGTCTCATATCATAAATAAAACTTTAACATTTCGTTACAACAACAACAACAACAACAACAAAGCCTTAATGCCACTACGTGGGGTAAACATAACATTTCATTATTTACATAAAAAGAAAAAAAAAACGTCTAATTCTTAAAGTTTCCAAGTCACCTAAATGGTCTACATGTAATGAGTTTGTTTGATTAAATTTATTTTTATTAATATATTTATATTTTTTAATAATTTAATTGTAAATTGAAAATAATTAAATAGGTATTTTGAATCTGCTGGTTCTATATTTTGGAGACCGATTTGCCAATTCAACCGATGATTAACACTATTTTTAATTGGTTCAATCCTAAAATGATTTTTGAGGCTACCCGGACCGATAGTATGCTTGGATCACAATCAAATCAATCGGCCTCATCCAATTTTTAAGGCATCGTGGTGATGTATTCTCTATCTTTAATAAATAATAATAATATTTTTTTTTTATTTAATATTAAAGGTTGAGGTGTTGTGCATGAGTATATAAAAGTTGAGATATTAATATGTAAATAAATATGAATTATGTAGTATGCATTATAAATGCACCCAAATATAAAATATACTTCAAATGTAATAAAAGAAAAAAAAGGTATTTTACATTACATTGCCTGACATAGGCACAGCTACATCATTTTCCTTCAAAACAACAAAGAGGAGGGTAGCATGTAAAGTTCAACTATTTCCTGAGAGATCTCAAAGCCACAATAGTCTATACTCTGCCTGAGATCATTGGGTGAGCTATTATTGGGTACATTTTGCTGTTTCAATAGCAAGGACTAAATCATCTAGTTTTGCTCCTGTTACTTCCTTCACAACCTTGCTCTGTTTGAGAATCTTGAAGGTGGGAACAACTTTTATTCCCAGCTCTTTAGCCAAGGGCTGCATGCAACTTATTTTAAATATATATATATATCATAATAAATGTATAAATACAGTATAGGAAGATTTACATACATGCCACTCAACTCCTATGTATTTGCATATCTACCAACTAGACTTCAATCTTTACATGCAAAACATCTTACCTATGCATACAAAAGATATATTTCACTCTTTAAAGGTTAAAATGGTGGTATTTTTTTACGTGATATGAAAGATTTAGGTAGTTTAAATGTGGAAACAAAAAAGTTTTAGGTGTTTAGATATGTAGATAGCTAGGAATTGAGTGATATGTATGTTGGTGAGAGAGAGGGAGAGAGAGCAAAATAGTGTACTCTATTGTCTTGATTGCAGTCGAGCTTGAGAAAGACCACATCAAGGTGCTTCTCTGACAATTCTTTAAACTTTGGAGCGATCACCTTGCATGGGCCACACCTACAAATTCAAGAGAGAGAAAATGAAAAACTGAGACAAAGTGCCAATATAAGAATAATTATAATAACTGAAACAAAGTGAATCATCTTATTAATATAGTAATTATAATAAGCTTAATATAATAAAGAGATCTAGCAATAATGAGTAATGCACTGGATTTACCTCAATAATGTTTCCAGGATAAGCATAAAATTCAAACTACATGGTCTTAACATAAACACCAATTATCCTTTATATTAAATAAAAATAATTTATACAACGAGTGAAGTAAAATAGTAACAGGAAGGAAGAAAAGCAGAATAATAAGCTTAATATAATTAAATATAGAGAGGTTTACAAGGGAGAAAAACATGGAAGAAATATAAATTTTTGTATAAAAATTACTAAATATAATAGTTAGGATCCCAAAAATTATTTCCTATACAACTGAATTCTTACCGACTTTCAGAACCATAGCCTCAACCTCAACAATCTGTGTGCTCACTTATCATTAAAAGTGACAGGAGTGGCTGTCAAAAAATGCAGCCGTTTGCAACATATTAAATGTTGTACGTCGCCAACCATTCAGGTAGACGGAAAAACCACTAAATATTAACATTTTCCCTAAAGCTGGTCTGTAAATATCCAACAAACCAAGTTTGTCAAAAAACTTTTCAAAAAGGAGTCAACCAAATCCTTTGGTCAGACAGTTAGTAGATTGATCAAGGAAATATATGAAACACATAAATCCTCATTTTGAATTTTTTTCTTTAAAGAAGTGTCAATCTATCTCCACATGTTTGATCTAATCAAGATAGGCATGACTGTGTTATAGTAATACAAATCTTATTATCATTTGATAATTAGCTAAACTTCTTCAAAGAGAAGCGTGATCCAAATTATTTTACTAATTCCATTTGCCAAGGGTCTGAGTTGAACTTCAACACTATTCTCTGCCGCAATATTTTATTCATTACTTCTCTAGGTTATAAAAAAAATACAATTTTGAGACTTTCTTTAAGGGGCTACTTGATTTGAAGTAAAAAAGTGGTATTGCATTATAAATGCAAAGGTTTTGAATATTTTAGTATTGGGTTCGAGAAGAAAGGAATGTAAGCAAAGCAGTACGAATGCAATGTTTAATTGTTGGGTTCGAGAAGAAAGGAATGTAATGTAAGCAAAGCAGTACGAATGCAATGTTTAATTTATTTCCAGCATACTCTAAATTCGTCATATTTGGTAAATTTGATACACATTACAAAGCAAGGTTTTAAAAACCAGACCGGACAAGCCAGTTCAACCGGTTTGACCGTGAATCAGGTCCAGGGACAGTTCTGGTTTGGCTAAAATTCATATCCAACATCAAACCGTTCAAAAAACAATCAAACCGCCGCCGAAGAATCGAGACCGCTTTCCGTTCCATTTTTA